GTCCGGACGGGCGGGCGGGATGAGCCGGTGTCTGCTGGGGCAGCGCCGCCCCTCTCACCGCGCCTGTCTCTGCAGGAGGACTATGCCAAGGCAGAGGCGGACGCGTCTAAAGGTACTGGCAGGGCCCAAAGGTACTGGCAGGGCCCGGCTGGCGTCGGTGCTGCTGGGGCGGTGCCGGGGGCCCGGTGACACGTCTGTGCTCGCGCGCAGCCATCGAGGCCGACGGCCGCGACGTGAAGGCGCTGTTCCGCCGCAGCCAGGCGCTGCAGAAGCTGGGCCGCCTGGACCAGGCTGTCAGTGACTTGCAGAGGTGCGTGAGCCTGGAGCCCAGGAACAAGGCCTTCCAGGAGGCCCTGCGCGCCCTGGGCAGCAGCGTGCACGAGAAGGTGAGCGGGGAGGACACGGGGCCGCGGCCGTGCAGCGCTGCGGGCGGCTCCGTGCCGGGAAGCGGCCGGGGCTGAGCGGCTCTTTCTGGCCTCTCAGATGAAGACCATGTCCTGCACGGACTCCAAGGTGGACCAGATGTTTCAGATCTTGCTGGATCCGGAAGAAAAAGATGCGGACAAGCAGCAGAAGGTCTGAACTCTCAGGATCAGGGCGGAGTGAGATGCGGATGGAGAGCAGGGAGGGGAGGGATTACCCCTGCTGGCCCAGCTCTGCTGGCCAAACTGCTGCGAGGGCTGGGGTGAACGGGGGTGCTCGTGGCTGCCCTGGTGGGCTGGCAGGCTCCGGTGGCTGAGGTGCCGTGCTCCCAGCAGGCTCCATTTGGCAGCCGATTTGCCCCAGTCTGTGGGCCAGTGGCCCAGACATGGCTCTGTTCTCCCAGGCTGCGCAGAACCTCATTGTGCTGGCACGGGAGGAGGCCGGAGCAGAGAAAATCTTCCAGAGCGATGGTGTGCGGCTGCTCACGCAGCTCCTGGACACGGCCAAGGCGGACATGATGCTGGCAGCCCTGCGCACGCTGGTGGGGTTGTGCTCCGGGCACCGCTCACGGGTAGGTCGCGGCTCCGGTTCTGCTGCCCGAGGGGCCTGGCGCAGGGGGACGGACACGTGGGTTTCGGCGAGGCGCCGGGCACGGGAGCGCCCCTGGCCTCACCGGGGCCTCCCTGCAGCCCCGCTGAGCAGCGGAGCCCTCGGCTCTCCCGCTCCAGCTCCCAGCTTGTGGGAGCCGTGGTGTGACGGGGGACCCATCAGGGGATGTGCTGGGGAGTGCCAAGGCTCCCCCAAGTCTCCAGCAGGCAGCTCTGCTTGCACTTGCAGACCACGGCCATCCTGGCAGAGCTGGGTGCCCCCCGTCTCTCGGCAGTGCTGGGTGTGGAGCACGAGCAGGTCTCCCTGGCCGCCTGCAACCTGCTGCAGGTGATGTTCGATTCCCTGAAGGAAGGGATGCAGAAGGACTTCCGAGGAAAGGAGGACGCGGTGGTGCTGGGTGAGTGTCTGCCTGCTCTCGGTGGCAGTGGGGAGCCTGGGGGTTCTGCTCCCCAGCGCTGAACCAGGGGCTCAGGTTCATGTGGCCTTGAGACACCTGGGATGCGCTGTGGCAGCCAAGCCAGGAGGGCATGTGGCACCAGCCGGGGCACTGACTGCTGGCGCTGTCCCTTTGGAAGATTCCTCCAAGGATCTGAAGCTGCTGCTCAAGGACCTCCTGGAGCTGCTAGCCCTGGAAGGGGCCTCTGCGCATGGACGGGATAACGCCCTCAACCTGCTCATCAAGGTGGTGCCCAGGAAGTCACCAAAGGAGACCAACAACAGCCTGAGCCTCTGGGTGATCGACCAGGGTGAGTGAGGCACAGCCTGAGCCTGCAGTGCCCCCCTGGGATCCCTTGCTTTGGGGGTGACATGTGCTTGGCTCTGTGGGTGCCAGGGTCCTGGGCACCCCCTTTGGCTCCTTACGTGGGCGTCTGACCTGCGGGTCCTCCTAGGCCTGAAGAAGATCCTGGAGGTTGGAAGCACGGTGTGTGGGGCTCAGGACAGCCTGCCCGTGACAGAGAACAGCCGGATGAGCGCCTCGGTGCTGCTGAGCAAGCTCTACAGCGACCTGAAATGCGACGCCGAGAGGGAGAACTTCCACCACTTGTGCGAGGACTACGTGAAGTGAGCCGGGTCTCCCTGGGGTGGGAAGGGTTTTCTGAAGCCCGCAGAGGCTCAGAGGGCTCTGAGCGCCCTGCCGTGTGCAGCACACGCTGCCGCTCCAGGAAGCAGCAGCACCTCTGTCCCCAGCCCCTCCTGCAGAGCCCCCAGGGCCCCGCCGCGCTGGGGACCCAGCTGGGCAGGGCTGCCTGTGCCTGGAGGCTGTGGACAGGGTCAGTCCTATCTCTTCTGCTGTCCTTCCCCTGCAGGAGCTGGTTCACAGGGCACGAGCTGGCTGGAAAGCTGCGGGCCATCCAGGCAGTGTCGTGCCTGCTGCAGGGTCCCTCGGAGGCCGGGAACAGGGTGCTGGAGCTGGAGGGGATCATGGACTGCGTGCTGTCCCTCTGCGCCTCCGTGTGCGAGGCGCACCAGCTGGTAGCGGTGGAGGCGCTGATCCACGCCGCCGACAAGGCCAAGCGAGCCTCCTTCATCACGGCCAACGGGGTCAGCCTGCTCAAGGAGATCTACAAGCACAGCGAGAGGGACAGCATCCGCATCCGGGCGCTCGTGGTGAGTGCGGCGCGGCAGGACGGGGAGCAGCAGCTGGGCTGGGTGCTGCTGGGTCAGGCTGTGACTGCAAGGCCTGCAGGACCCCAGCGCAGCCTGTTCCCTGGTTGTGGGGCTGTCGCAAGCACTGCGGTGACTGTAGCTGTTCCTGCTCTGACACCCTGCTCCTGCCTGCAGGGTCTCTGCAAGCTGGGGTCTGCTGGAGGCACCGACTTCAGCATGAAGCAGTTTGCCGAGGGCTCCACCATGAAGCTGGCCAAGCAGTGCCGCAAGTGAGGGCTGCGGGGGCCTGGGGGGCCAGGGCAGGCGCTGTGCGGTGCCAGCTCACTGCCACCCTCTGCCAGGTGGCTGTGTAACGAGACCATCGACGCGGGCACGCGGCGCTGGGCTGTGGAGGGCCTGGCCTACCTCACTTTCGATGCGGATGTCAAGGAGGAGTTTGTAGAGGACAAGGCAGCGATGCAGGCCATGTTCCAGCTGGCCAAGGTGAGCGTGGCAGGGCCACACAGGGGCCGGCACACCGAGTGGCCAAGGGCACGGCAGGGCTGCTGCCCCACGGCGCTGGGCAGGCTCCAGCCGCTGCTTGTCCTGCGAGTGCCGTGGATGTGACGAGCGCCCCGTCGTCCCCGCAGTCGGAGGACAGGAGCGTGCTCTATGCGGTAGCCTCCACGCTAGTGAACTGCACCAACAGCTACGACTACGAGGAGCCAGACCCCCAGATGCTGGAGCTGGCCAAGTACGCCAAGCAGCACATCCCCGAGCAGCACCCCAAGGTGAGGCGGCACGGGCAGCTCGCGGAGGGGCCGGGGAGCCGAGGCCTTGAAGGAGACTGCAGGGGTGGGACAGAGCATGGTGTCCCTGGTAGGGACAGCGCGACAGGGTGAACAGTCTGGGGGCCTTCAGTGGGGGTCGGGACCTTCCAGGGGTGGCCGTGGGGCTGGGTTCAGGGTCTGGAGCGAGTGGGGACCCTGTCTCGGGGCAGGACAAGCCGGACTTCGTGAAGCGGCGGG